TTGGTACCATTGTCAGATACCATTGGTACCATTGTCAGATACCATTGGTACCATGATCAGTTACCTTTGGTACCATTGTCAGATACCATTGGTACAATTGTCAGATACCATTGGTATCATTGTCAGATACCATAGGTACCATTGTCAGATACCATTGGTACCATTGTCATATACCATTGGTACCACTGCCAAATACTATTGGTACCATTGTCAAAAATCAGTATCGTAGTGCTGCTTAAGACTATGTACCTTGTATGTACCATGTATTTATCGAGAGGGTTATCACGCCCAGCATCACTGTAAAGAAGAAGAAGAAAAAGAAGAAGAAGAAGAAGAAAAAAACCGATTCCTCTAGCTTTGGGGAAATCAAACTGAATCCATTTTTAAGGAAAAGCATAGCATTAGATCCTGTCCTTTGATATGGCTGTCGTGAAACCTCTCCATAAATTTACAAGTCCCTTCAAATTAATGTTAGTGGTGATTCCAAAAACCTGCTTAAACATTGATAAATGGCGTTTCCTATGTAAATAGGGTACTTTTATTTGGCTGTCTGTTCTGTTAACCACATTGTGTTTTGTTTCTGTCTTAGGCCCGTCAATTCGTTGAAATGGAATACACATATAAAGGCGAGCCCGTTGCTAGGCGACCACCCAAGCCCAACTCTCCTATATGTACCCCATCTGGTTCTCCACTCTCCTCGTCTCTCTCGTTAGCAGCGGTTTGTGATAACGCGTGCTATAATCGAAACAGCTACAACGGCAAATGTATGAAACGAACTCGATCGTTGTCTGAGCCACCGACACATAAACAAGAGAACTGCGTAGCTGGTGATCACATGGAAATGAATGACGTCAGAACCAGTCCGTTTTTAAATTCAAACATGAACAACAACGAGAAAAAACAACCGAACAACGTGACGACTTCAGCCGTTGTAACAATGCCAGATTTTGAGACCGTCACTGTTCCTAATAATATCCATGATGCGGGAAACAGGAGATACGAGAATTGTAACGATCGATCCCCGACGTCGCATACAGCCATTTAATGGCTGCGGAATGAATTACAACATGCAAGCAAATCTGTTCTTGTCGTCTGTGTTTCAGACGATTATATTCGGAATTTCTTACTCGAGTTATGAAATTTTTGAGTACATAAAACAATTGCGACTGTCCCTATCGATTGAGGAAAGAAACATCCTATCTAACAGATACCAAATTAAGAAGAAAACTTCCCAAAATCTAAAAGTGGAAAAAAACGAACGAAAAGTAGAAGACCAAGGGAATAAAAAAAGCTTTCTCAGTGGACTGGAAGCCACTGATGGATCCTTTATCTCTGATGGTGGGAGGTCTGCTGTACATGCGTGCATAGACGCAGAGAAATCCTAGTACAAAAAGGAAAAAAATTATGGAAGGAAATATGAAACGAAACGGGCTCTTCTTCTACATAAAGCAAAGATTTTCAGCTATCTAAAGGCTGAAAAAAAAAGCAAGTCGAGATCAAGTTGTCGATAAAAATGATAACTTTTGGGAACTCAGTCAAACTATGCGAAAACTCTCTTTCGATTTGTACAATTCTCATTAAAGAACGATTCCCTTTGCGCGCGGAATTTTCAACAAAGCTATCGCCGTCAGAAAGTTTGAGTAATAATCTAGCTCATCACGTGCAGCGCACGTGACACTAGTGCCTCGATCTCGTGTATGCAGTCTGCATGCTCTTCGAATTAAAATAAGGATCTTCAGATTATTGCATATTATCGCCGTCATTGTATTGCGACAAATTCTGGAGCAATCGGAATTTCCGATTGTTTTACATCAAAGCGTATTTTTACTTTTTTCAAACCTTAATATATACTGAAATTATATATACATATATAGATATATGTATTCTTATGTATTWTTGTGTACAAAGTTAGAACAGCTCTTAGACCTAATACAGGGCAGCTGTGAACATGGAATATGTTGCCTCCAAGGCTGAGCGGCGAAGGCCTGGGATGATTGCTTTCGAAGGAGATTTCTTGGAAGCCATGAAAGTAAACTCGAGAATGGATGAAGTTCGTTGCTTTTACAGGATATCAGGGTAATCGTATGGACAAGTTAGAATATTATTGACAATATGCGAACCATGTTCCAGAGGTTTAAACCACGCAATCACTTTGTTGTAAGAGGTTTTTTAATCGAGTGTGGCGGAAAATGGTTCTTCGTCGGCGAACCTTTATTTATTTATTGATTTCAGTTGAAAAAGAAAAAAATAGCACTGTGAGAAAGAGGGCGAAAGGATTATCACAGTGCGAACTGGAATCAAAAAACCATGGGCGCCTAGAAATATTTTAAGAATGTTCAATAGCCAATCAGAAGCGTTATTGTTATCTTTCCGTTATCTTGTGGTTAGAAAGTCAATTCTAATTGACCAAAGAAAAACAGAACATTACTAGAATATTTCTAGAGGCCCACGGGTTTTCCATTCGCACTGTAATTAGGTTCGTGGATGAAAACGAAAAGTTTATTGGTGTGAATTACTTTCTCATTGGAAAGGGAAAAACATGGCTGCTATTTTGATGATAAGATCAGTGTATCCAAAACGAAACTTTCGTTAACGTCAACCAACATGATGGCGGCTATGACGTCATATACATCCCATGTGAGGTCATAGGTTGTAGTGCATTTTTTCCCATAAGAATAAAATGAGACGTGCTGCCATGTTGGTTGACATGAGAAACAAAAACAAGGGCAAAAGTTGAAATTTATTTAACATGGCGGCGATGACGTCATAGGAAATAGGAGAAATCCGCTTTTCTGAAATCACGACAATAATCCTTTTCGCCCTCAGTCAGCAGTGTGCGTCTCTTGGACATGCGTTCCTCAAGCTTCAGATTATTTAGAAAATTTTAAATCAATTCTCTCTTATCTTCCAATTTGTAAAGAAAATATGTAAATACTAGCTAGCACTTTAAATTCTTAAATTCGTAATTCAAATGAATCTAAGCCAATCAACTTTGAACTCCCGGGTCAAATATCCGAGGTTTAATTCCAGACCTCGTAAACTGATGAATGGTTTTTACATGACCTAATATGGACACTAATGGTGGCGATGACGGCCGTATATAGACATTGATGGATTTCATTACCAAATTTGGACATCAATGGTGTTTTATTACCTTATATAGACCTTAATGACGTTTCGTTTGTATGGACGTTTTTCTCCACGTGACGTACCATTCTCGTAACAGATCAGATTAATCTAGTAGGACAGACAGCGAATTATTCTTCCTATTCTATATTTTAAAGATACTATTGATTTGTATTTTGAGTAGTTCAATTGTGATAAGTGAGATCGTGCGACTGTGTGTATTTTTTTGTTTATTTGCGGTGATTTTAGGTGTGGTTATTTTGATATTTTTATGCGTATTTTATTTATTCTTAAAGTGAGTTAGTAGAACTTCCGATTGAAACTACTTTTATCCCAGATCATTAAGAGCATTAATATATCATTTTAAATGCTGGGCTATTTCTAAACCATTGTTTACTATTGCATGTATTGGTATTCAGAACAGGATAACGACTATCCTCACTATTTAATTATAAATAAACAACACTAAAAAATAAATAGTCATCAACCTTATTTTTTCCCTTGATCTAGAGTTTTATGGTCCTTTTGCTCCTCGTAAATCAAAAAAACGTCAGATGACGACTAACATCGGTCGATCCAGGGTGGAGTCCTTGGGTTCCATGGAACCCCCCTTACTTGAGAAGCCAATCCTGCTCTTTCCGCTCATTACAATGAAATTGTGGTTTATAAATAAGCAACACTGAAAAATGAATACTCATCAACCTTATTTTTTCCCCTTGATATAGAATCTTATGGTCCTCTTGCTCCTCGTAAATCAAAAAAAAAAAAACGTCAGATGACGAGTAACAGTGGCGGATCCAGGGTGGTTCCGTAGGTTCCATGGAAAGCCCCCCAGTGAAAACTTGGGAAGCCAATCTTGCTCTTTCCGCTCATTACAATGAAATTTAAACCCCCTTTTGTGAAGCTAATCTTAGCAGCTTTTTCTGGGTTGCGGCCAATTTGGAACCCCCCTTTTTAAAATGCTGGATCCGCTACTGAGTAACTCACAGATCAAACCTGAAATAACCTTAGAGCTGATCTTAGTTGAGTCGTGGATGAGTCGCACATCTAACTAGACTGATTCCTTAAGTCGTAGTCTGATGAAATCAGTATAAGATCTAACCTGAAACAACCAAAGAGCTGATATAAGTTAGGTCACGGCTGACTCACAAATCGAACCCCACGCCCCATCAGAGGTAAGAGGAGAGTGCATTACCACAATTCATTTTTCATTTTACGTCATCGCGGCCATGTTGGTGGTATTTTACAAACTAAGGTTTCTGATTGACTTTCTTTCGCGTTTAAATAATAACCCTTCTGACCTTCTTTGTGCCCGGTTGGGAATAATTGCAAATCATCAATATAACCGTCGATTTCATTTAAACATTCACCTGACACCCTGACCCCATGCCACCGTCCCACACATACTTAAACAACACACACACACATATCACTATCAATTGCACTCTCACATTCACCTGGCACCAAACGACCGTCCCTCCCATACAGAAAAGAATACACACATCAATATCACTATACTCTGTGCACTCTACATGTATTACATACACAGGGTATATTGTTAGTATATGATGTACGGTTTATTTGATGTGTTAGATGCGCAGGGTACAGTGAGTATTAAATACCCCGTGCACTCTACATGCATTAGATACACTGCGCACACCAGGTGTGTTAGATGCACGGGGTATATTGTTAGTATATGATGCACGGTGTATTTGATATGTTAGATGCGCAGGGTACAGTGAGTATTAAATACCCCGTGCACTTTACATGTATTAGATACACTGCGCACACCAGGTGTGTTAGATGCACAGGGTATATTGTTAGTATATACATACATACATAATCTTTATTAAACACGGATGTCTTATCATACAAGAGGCTCTTCCTAAGAGCCGTGTTAGACTTACAATAGAATAATAAATATAAATTGTATAACTAGAAACAAAAATAAAATTATATAAATGTATATATATAACTTATAAGATATAAATAATTGGAAATGTCAAAAATATTCAATATTCTGTCAGCTGGGGCACAATACGACCTCAAAGGAGGAGAGTACCTCCACGTTGTATTTGATATGTTAGATGAGCAGGGTACAGTGAGTATTAAATACCCTGTCACTACATATATTAGATAATTAGATATACTGCGCACACCAGGTGTGTTGGATGCGCAGGGTATAATATTAGTATATGATGCACAGTGTATTTAATATGTTAGATGAGCATGGTACAGTGAGTATCAACTATGCACACTATTTGTATTTAGATACACTGCGCACACCAGGTGTGTCAGATGCACAGGGTATATTGCTAGTATATGATGCACGGCGTATTTGATGTGTTAGATGAGTAGGTTACATTGAGTATTAGTCCGAATACAAGCTTACGAAATTCAAGACAGCTGTGAAGCTGTATTCGCGATCGAATCAAGACTCCACAATAGGTTTGGTTAGGGCGTTTGACGAGAAGTGCGAAAGAAAGGGACGACGTTCTCTAACGAAGGAGGCCGGTAAGTACGCCGCGGAGATGGGCGTGAACTTAGATTTCAAATACCCTAATCCAGCTGGGTATGCTGATTCAAGTGAAGATTTTGCCGGTGAAAAAATTGGAAAAGTCATGCAAAGTTTTGAACAAGAAAAAAGGGACGAGATAATCCGAGGTCAAAGATGGCAAGGGAAGCTCTTTGAAGCAAGATGGGCTGATGAAGATGTCGTAGACTTCTTCAGTTGGCTATACAAATGGAGGACAGCACCTTCGCACGCTGTTGCGGGAATGTACGAGCGTTTTCCACCAATTACTCCCGACGAAGCTATAGTACCACAGTAATTAAAAGTGGTAACTGTCCCTGCAACGGACGTGAAGTGTCGAATGTGAGGAAAAGCCCCAGAAAGTGGCTTCCACGTCCTCGCTGGTTATAGTGCATTAACACAAACGTAACTACTATACCTTGAAAGGCATAACGCAGCTCTCAAAATACTGTTTTGGAGTTGCTGAGAGACTTTGGCTCGTCCAGCGTACTCCGCCTTAGTACTCCAAGACCATACCAAAACATGAGTACAAGAACTCAAGAGCGAGCGCTTTCTCGAATGTCCCAGATGTCCCTGTGAAACACCGGAGGTGAGAGCTAATCGTATCGACGCAAGGATTATGGACAAGGAAGCACCGACGAAGGGCCGGTAATGATCATAGAGATGAGCTGTCCTTAGATGGACAATAGAGGACAGAAGACAGAAGAGAAACTACCAAATATGCGCCGCTGCGCTTGGAACTGCGGAAATAATTCCCAGACTACAAGATCAAGCAGTATAATATCATCATCGATGCCTTTATAGGGGGATACTCCAGGGCGACACAGCAGAAACTGTACGAGACTTGGTTGGCAGAAACAGAACAGAGAACGTCTTTGTTTTGCATACAGAAGGCAGTATTTCCAGCACATTGAACATTTCGAGGACTTTTGGGATCATAACAGTATTGATGGTTTTCACGGCGGCCATGTTGGAGGAACTTAACAAAAGAATTGTCAATGAATTCTTTTGTTATATCCTCCAACTTGGCCGCCGTGTCTTTTGTTATAGTTTAATTCACTTGGGAATGGTTGAAAACCTGTATCAATAGAGATTACGAACTTTAAATGATGAAGAAGAAGGTGATATTGGTGGCGATGATGATACAAACTATAAAGAACTAATCAAGATTGGAATGAACCATTAATCCTCTCTATTATACACGTGAACACCAACTGTCAACATTTTCCTAAATTTGAATTGCAAAGCAATTTAAATGTCGCTAAAAAATCACAACTCAATCGTGACCATTTGTCTACACACCCAACATTTTTCTGCAAGGCTGGATAAGAACAAAAAATATTTTAGGGGGAGAGGCAGGAAAAGATCAAATTGACTTGCTCAAAAAGCACCAAAAAATAAGTACATTTCGAGCGTTTGAAATCCTATTTGATTAGAAGACTGAGATATGTTTATCAGTCTCTACTTTTCACGAAATAATTTTTTTACTTTTTGTAATAAAATAGATAAAAATATCATGCTGAATTCTCCCTCCCCTCCCCTAGTCTTAATTTTTTCCTGTTGGTCTTTGACGTCATAATGTCCGTGTTATTATTAGCATACTACAATCTCTGAACTCTCGATCAGTGGTGGATAGAGAGAGCTGGATTTAATGATTATACATTCTTTTCGACCTCTGAGGTACTATTAGTACGTTCTGTTGTTTAGAGAGGATTGAGGTTTGGTTTCTTTGATTGAAAGGACTCGAAAACTGTTTTGAGAAAGCGATCTAATCAGTTTCTCTACGCCTTGTCAAATCTTGAAAAACTCACAACTACGCGGACTTTATATTATACCGTTGGAATTTCTCTTGTACAAGAACTTGGAGGACAAAAAAGCCCTAATATCTTCAAAATAAGGTCCTATTGATACCTTACCGATAGATCTCTTGATCTAGAGTCCAAATTATGGGTTTGGAGGTGAAGATCTTGGTTGCTTTGTTCGTGTTTACTTTCACTCTTCTTCAATTCACGAGTCCAGTTTCAGCTGAATTTGATTGCAGTAAATATACCAACACCTCCTGTTCCTCGTGTACTGAGAATTCTGCCTGCTACTGGTGTAAAAGTTCAACAAAATGTATTCATTATCCTGGTTGGACCAAGGTTGTGCCCCACGATTGTCCACATAAGGACTGGTATTATGGCCAATGTCGAATCTCTGGCTTTGTCTTGATCATCCTGGTTCCCTCTTTGGCTGCTTTCGCTTTGATTTTCCTCTGTTGTTGCGTTTACTGCTGCTGTTGTCGAAGGTGCAAGAAATGGAAACAAAAACGACACGACAAAGAAGATATCAAGCTCAAGAGAAAGCGAGACGAAATGCAATTACTACACTCACAACGTCGTAACGAGAGGCAAGCAAAAGCTGACAACATCAGAAAGAAATATGGCCTTCTTCCTTCTGGAGGATATGAACGTCTTGGTGATGAGTAAAATTGCAGGAATAATTTGTACCACTTAAGCTTATAACCTACGATAATTTCTGAGAAAGAAGCGAATAATTGTTATTTACGAGTATATAGCTGTATTTTCCTATCTCTGTCTAAAGGCACATTAATCTACAATAGTCTTTCTAACAGACTGGAAAAAATCCTACAAAATTTACGATCGAAAATAATATGGTATTTTTGGGCTATATTTTTGTTGTAAAACATACGTTTTTTGATATATTTGTGTGGCTTTTTTGAAGTGGAGGGCTGTAAAAGTTATTCACTAATTATAAACTATGTCGCTAAAAAAGTTTTGATACAATGTAATCAATATGAATAAATTACTTTGATAAATTCTATTTTGATAATAAAATATTTTTGTATGGGTAAAATTTGTTTAAATGGTTGTTATTTAAATCGGCAAGGTTTGAGGGATTTACTTTAGGTTTTTATTTCATTTAACTTATTTTTTAAGTTTAATCTTAAGGGGGAGAGGGTAGGTTGAGCAAAAGGAGTACTATGGGGGATAGTGTTAGGAATCACGTGAGTCTTCCAATCGGCATGATGGCGGAAGGAAGGGAAGCGTTGAAGGTTGGTCGGAGTTTGTTCAGTTTTTTGGCTTTCATTGGGCTTATTCGAAACTATTAACGCTCGAGCTCCGTCAGATGCTCAAAGGAACTATTACCAAACGAACATGAAGAGATGGGGCTGTTTAGTTCAAGATTTAAAGACTTTGAGGGGAAAATGCAGAGGCCATGGCGAAGTCCGTCTTCTTCTGAACTTTGTTTACGTTCACTTCGATTGTTTATAGTGTTTTTTTTGGGTGTCTTTATCACTGGAACAATTCAAGAAAGTTTCGCTGGTAAGTGTTGTTGAGTTTTTAAGCTGTCACTGGTAATTCAGGGGATTCGAATAGTTTGGATTTTAAGAATCTTGTAGACAGTTCACCTTGTTGTTTGTACAAGAAGCTAAAGTATTTCAAACGTACTTCACTACTAGTCTTATCTTATGGTGCTTTCTTTTAGAACTGTTCTATAAATTTAAAGGTCCTCTCAAGAATAAAGATGGATTTCCTCTTAATTCTTTAGGTTTTACCGTTACGAAGTTCCTAAAACGATCGCATTCTTTAAGACTAGAAAACTTAAAAAGCTGTCAAATTCTGACAATCATCTTGTCAACGAGTCGTCGTTTGAAAATAAAATTAACGTACCAGCCAAGATCCTAATCTGAATACCTGAACCTCATATCTTCTGATGTCTTTTTATTTTTTCTGTGTATTTCTTTAATATAATCTCAATAACTTTTAGACCGGTAATCTGTGATCTTACGGTTCTTATAACCTTTAGTGATCTTTCGCTTCATTTTTTTCATATTATAGTATATTAGACTTTCTATATAAACTCGCTAAAATATATATTTTATCCTTTGTTCTTATTCCTAAAACGTTTCTGTTTATTAGTTATGTGCAGTTGAAAGCTTGGATAAGGAAATAGAATTACAAATATTTGGCAGTGTTTGACGTATACAAGTGAAAAAAAAAATATATATATATATAATAAATTTAATAAGAACTGAAAGATTGTCATAAACACAGTAAACTTCCTTAACGCACAGACTTTGATTGCAGAATTTTATGAGGAATGAAATATATAAATATATAAATATATAGATATATGTACTTTCTACAGCAATCTTAATTACAATATTATAATAGCAGATGTCACTTGAGCTTAATGTCAACATAATCATTATTATGTCTAGCTAATAGTGCGTAATAGGAATAAATTGAATTATGGTAGTTTTGTGAGATGGTAAACACTCGGGCATATATTAAAATCAATTGGACCTTCTATATACTCTTTCCCAGTCCTTCACTTCTTTCTTCCTTCACAGTGGTCAATATTACATGTTCATTTCTTATAAGTGCATGGCTGTATACAAAAACTTAGTATTTACAGTCTGTATTTTTTAGTTTTAAAAAAAAAAAATGTTAATATCGTCAAGATTATTCCCTGCCATAGACATGTTACCATTCAAGAATGTGCAAAGAAAACAAACTATATTACCAATATACCATAATTATTAATAGTACTTGGTCAGCTATTAAACAATAGTGTGATGTATTAATTACCACAACGGCTATAATATAAGACTTTCATGCATGTATAAGACTTTCATGTAAGAGAGCTGAAGTTTCTTTAGAACCTCTTAGGGTCTGTCATCAGTCTTTTATTCTAGAAGTTTCTAAAGGCAATGATCAGCTTGTTATTCAGTATAGTAGGGAAGTATGTTAAGAAGAGGTTAAAGTGGACCTGGAGGTTCCATAATGCACTGTCATTTATGATTGGTCTAGAAAAAAATCATGAGCACTAGTTAGAAGTAGCTATAATAAAAAATATTCTTTTCTATGTAAAAGTTTAAGAACTTGGGCCACTTATTTTCATGCTCAACTTAAAGGGTGGTTAACAAAGATTGTGCCGGTCACATACTTAGGATTTCTGGCCCACTTGCTTCCTCAAGTGTCAGAATTTTCTTCTTGTTGAATGTGAGATGGATTTTGCATGATTGTGCAACCATGATATGTTTTGACCAATTATTATCTTCGTCTAATTAACATGAAGTGATAATTAACACTAGTATTCTCTTTTATTGCCACAAGTTCTGAAAATATACATTCATTAAACAATAGAACTTTCTGATTGACTGGATGACTATGTTTAAAATGTACTTCAGTTTGTCAAGAGAATGCTGGAATAAGATTGCTCCTCATGTCTGGTTTATATGCTAATGTTATCGACTCTTTGAAATGGTCCTTTGATGTATATTGAGTGCTAATGATAAATACTTGATAGACGACTTGCACTAACAGGTCATGTGACCCTACCTTCCTTATAATGAGCAGCTGTGTCAAAATTAACATAAGGAATGAAAAGAGCACCTCAATATTACTAGGGTGGTGGTGTTTTAGCTCATAACAAACAAAAAATGAGAAGTGGCATTTAATATAAAATCAAATATTTTGTAAGGATTTGTATGGGAAATTATATGCTCTTTGCTATTTCCCCATAACAATCCTTATAAATATTCAATTTTTTATTTAATGCCATTTATCCTATAGTCAACATTATGAGCTGAAACTTCACCCTCTTACTAATAATGTTGAGCTGCTCTTTTCATTAATTTCTAAAGTTCGTTTTTGCGTAACTGCTCGTTTTAAGGGAGGTAGTGTCAAGTGACCTGTTAGACAAGTGCAAGTCATCTATTATGTGGTTGAAATTTATCTGTGTATTAGACTAATCTTTCATTGCTCACAATTATTCTGAGAATATACTCATGAGATTGAATAAGATGTCTCAGTGAATACTTTACAAGTAATAGCTTCATCAGGAGAAGGGTATAGAACATTATGACCAGTTTAGAAGTAAGAAGTAATAATGCCATGATATAGTTTAGAGTTTAATTAACTAATTTTTTTCAAACAAATTCTTTTTTGTTACTTTTTTTGAACAAGTCATATCAAAATTTTATTTGTTGGATATGAAAAATGTGTCTAATGGAAGCCATCTAAGATAATTATGTCGTAAGTGCCAAACATTGGCAGAAACTTAACTGATAAATTTTAATTTAACTTCGTCATCAATACCATGTGCCATATCATGTTCTGGTGCCATGCTGGAGGACGTGTCTTTTAATTTGATAAGCAGTAATCTGGCTTGTAATTGGTTGAAGAGGTTTCAGTTTAGCATGTCACTTGAGCATGACTATACTTAAATGGTTTCCCAATTAAACATTTAATCTAGACTGAGTATAATAGGCAACTGGAAATGAATTATTGAATGTTAGAAAAGGGAAGATGTTTGGAGTTCTTTTTGACAAGCCTTTTTTATCCATTATATCTGTCAAGGAATGATTGGGCCCATTCAGTCTTGTGGACATTTGGTTTGGGTTTGATAAAACATAAATACCAAATATTTTTTATCGAGTGTATAGAGAGCTAGTGAGCAATATCATATGGAAAATAAGTAAATAAAAAAAAAAATCAGGGTCTTAACATACAGTATGGCAAAGATGATGGAAAAAAATTTTTTTTTTCTTTCAGATCCAGCAGAGATTACAAATGTTATTCCATCTAGTAAAATTATTGAAATTAAACCTGGAAAAGTTAAAGTGTTAAGCTGTAATGTCAGTGCTGTTCCTGGTGTCAAAAAAATTGTGTGGATATTCAATTATAGTGTTCACTTACAAGGTACATATACTTTTACGCCAGCCTGTTTAGCAGTATTTGTGCAGTGTGGAGTGTGGTGTTTCATTTTTTTAAATTCCTTGTTGATGTTGCTGCTGCTGCTGCTGCTGCTAATGATGATGATAATGAATGATGATATATAATGACAATAACAATGAGGATAATACTGATTAATAATGCTGTTGTAGCCAATTGATCCTGAATTGAATATGATGGTGATGATGTTGGGGCTGCTGCTGCTAATGATGGTGGTGATGGTGGTGATGATGTTGACGACAATCATAAAGATGATACTGAATAATGATGCCTCTGCTGGTAATTGATACTGAATTGAATAAGATGCCGATGATGTTGTACTGCTGCTAACAATGATGAAAATGATGATGACAATTAGGATTGCACTGATTAATGATGCTGCTGCTGGTAATTGGTTCTGAATTGAAAATAATGCTGCTGCATATGTCATAGTTTGGGAAGATTACAATGATAAGGATGATGATGAATGATGCTGATATTGCATAGTGATAATATCATATGCCTGCTAACATAACCTATTTATACATCTTTCTGTTCGCAGATTCAAATAATACAGCATTTAATATATCAAATGCTAAGTGTTCAGATACTGGAATATATCAATGCTTTCCTTCTAATGGCTCGCTACCAACTGCAAAAAATGGTACATTTAATGTCACAGTAAGAGGTATGAAACATCAATTTACTAGCACTACGCACATGTTGCAACAGTTTTGTGTACTTTTGCTGGGAACAGAGATCTTGAAGAATATAATTTGCAGTATAAAACTTTACTTCAGAATTCTAGACAGCAGTAAACTGATTTAAAACACATTTCATTGAATGATCCTGTAGTCTCCTTTGCAGCAGCCATTCTTAGTGTCGGTCTAAATTCCCTCCCCATGCACTGATCATTAAATGCAGCAATTTTGAATTTCATAGCTACTTGTGAGAACGCTTCTTCAAACAATGCCATTTTGTTTATGTATTTAGGCGGGCTTCAGTTCTCGTTTTCAGGACTAGAGCTGTGATTAGCTAAGCTGGTGGAATGTTGTGCTCTAGTAAGCAGCCGTTGGTGGGGAGGGATTTTAGACTGACACTAAGAACGGCTGCAAAGGAGACTACTGATCCTGAGGACTTCAAAGCCTTGCCAGCAACATCGTAGATATGTTTATCTGATAGCATAATAATTGTTGCATGCAATGTTACAGACTGATTATCTCAATTCTACTTCTGCAATGTTGCCAGCATTGAACAGTTTTTACAGCCACTCGCAAAGGTGAATGTTCACTAACTCTTGTAATTGTATTATTGTTGCACCCAGGGGGGTACTCCCCTATATTCGCTATACGGGTACGTGCCGCCAATTAAACAGGGTATGGTTTACAGCGATTTTACTCTGGAACAGGGTATATAAAATCGCGCTTGCTCTGGGACAGGGTATATGAAATCACGCTCGCTCCTCTCTGGAACAGGGTACCTGTTTTCACAATACAGGAACTGGGTATGGTTTTCTTCAGTGATCTCGCTCTGGAACAGGGTATGAATTTCAGTGGTTTGACTCTGGAATAGGGTCAGGTTCAGAGGGCTCAGCGGCACATCCCTACCCTAAACGGGCAAGAGTAACCCCAATCCCTGGGTTGTTGCATACCTGGGTACCCAGTTACCCCATTACAATGGTCAGTTCTACCAGATAAAACCTCTGGTAATCATTCCCTACTTTATCAATTATATTTTTTATAGGATTTTCATGTAAATCTATAAGATTTTCAATTTTTTATTTTGTTGGACAGATTAGTTTATTATGATTTTAATATAATTCTAATAATATTTTTCTGTTTTTCAGACCTACCAAGCAAAGTAAATATCTCACTTTCCAGTTCTACTCCAACTAGTTTAACCTTCCAATGGACTGCTCCTCAGAATGGCTGTCTGCCTTTGACCTACAGTATTGCATATCAGGCATCAAAGAAAGTTCAAAGTGAACATGGAGGAAAAAAAGATGTTGGTACTAGTCTGATTGCTACCATTGATGGACTAATACCTGATACTAAATATGAAGTACAACTAATAATACAGAATGCAAAGGGTGTCATTGAATGTGATAACAGCCCTTTTTGGACAGATATCGGAGGTACAGTAGTGTATTTATTTCAGGGTTAAGAATAACGGCTGGTGACCAGTTGGCCATCATGATGGCCAGCCAAATTAGTTTTATCTCAGATCTACCAAATATTAATTTGAATCTTGGTTACTGTACCTGTTTCAAGTAATATATCGAACCCAAAAAGTGTGTCACCCAATTTTAAAACATGGAGAAGTTATGCATAATCATGCATATCTTCTCCATGTTTTAAAATTGGGTGACACACTTTTTGGGTTCGATATATTACTTGAAACAGGTACAGTAACTAAGATTCAATTAATATTTGGTGATTTAATATAGTGATTTAATATAGTGATTTACTTTGTCTTGTGTTCATGAATTATCAAACATAGACCATCATGTTCTGTCAGCCAGAAATAATTCATGATTATTTTTAGTGAAAAAGTTACGATTCAGCTGATGCACATTTAACATCCAACATATTAAAATGATAACATCAACTGAAAGCAAGCAATATTTGTAACTTATTTTAAAAATAAGTTTTGTTTGAAAATGACATTTCCAAATTTACTATTTTTGCTTTCGATATTATATATTTTTGAAGCCTAGCAGTTTGCACTCATGCATAGGCCCCTGAGGAAATAATTCCTTTCTTGGAAGTTCTGTGAAGCAATATCAGAGGAAGTAGAGGTCACATTCTTGTGCTCTTGTGGCTTTGCTTTTAACTACATGTTATTCCAAGTACCAGGAATAATTGTATGTCTGTTGATAATCCCTTTACAGTTCCCTCTTCACCTTTGTCTTTGGAAGCAAATTTGACATCTTGTCTAGTTGAATGGGAGAAGCCGTCCCAGGAGAATGCTCCAAATATAACCTATAGGGTATGTTCCTCACTTTACTAGTACAATACAGTTCATATTTAAAATTCCTTGCTGTAACTAATGCTAAGTCCTGTGGTTTTTCACAATCAAAAATATTTATAGCAATTAAGAGAAAAAATCCTGCCTTGATCAGCTTCATGAAATAGCTTATAGCTTCATATAATTATATTGCTTCATAGATATAGCTTCATATATAATTATAACCTCATAATAATAAAGTATGGAGGGCTGTCCATGATGCTGTCAGTACCTTTTTGACCTCTGCTAATCCTTCATTACAGACTCATTTGCTTAATTTTATCCAGTCATATCATGGTTAGAATATTTACAATTAAAGTAAGGCAATGTAATGCTTAACAAAAGAATGCACAACTTCATTGTAATTCCATGTTGTTTTTTTTTTTGGAACATATAAATATTCTTCACCAATTCAAATCAAGGTTAATCCTGAGCAATAGAAAACTTGAATAGCTTGGTTAAGTTTCTTTCCTTTTCTTTGTTATGCCCAAATTTTTCATTTTCAACTTTCATGTCTGTTACACTGCTTTGTTTAGTCCATGTTGTGTGACTAGAAGGAAGAGCTAAAATGTGTCTTAATATTAATACATTGTTTCCAACGTTTTAGCTTTCTTATAGACAAAATAATTACACCAACTGGACACACATTGAAAACATCAACAAGACATACTATTCTCTACGAGGGAAAGTATTGTGTTCCAGTCAAAAAGTAAAATGCTCAACATACAGTTTCAAAGTTACAGCAAACAGTTCAGCAGGTTATGGTAATGAAAGCGATGTTATCTTTGTATCTGGTTCATCAGAACAACTACAAGTTTGTGCTTCCCTTTCTTCTAATGTAGGTAAGTTATAACATTAAAAAAAACCTTTTTAGCTTGAATGGGTGTAATGTTTTCCCATTTCGGCTAGTAGGCCAGTGTCATTCTCTTGTGAATCATATTCTAATTGAGTTTGTTTAATGTGTTGTTCTCTCCCTTGCCACAAGGGTTTTCTCCAGGTAATAGAAAGAAACCGTTTATAGATAGAAACCTTTATTTACACAGGGTTGTCCAGTCAGATATACAAAAAGCAATCTGATATCAAAAGGAGCCCTAAAATAAATACAATATAAAGAGAATAAATAAATATATATATAATGATATATGAAAGTACAATAAAAATCTAACAATAAAATTATCTATATAAATACTAGAATCAAAATCGAAAATATTGAACAAAAATTTACTTCTTGTTTTCTAAAACTATTGTAAACTAATGAGCCATTATAATAAAAGCCTTTCTTGGCGGTCTCTGTTCGTACGTGACGGCAAATCTAGTAATCCAGTGTCCTCCCTCCGTAAAAAATCAATGTAAGTTGAGTGTTGTTGTAATGTTGTAAATATAGAATGTAATGGTAGTGTGTGTGTGTGTGGAGGGGGGGGGGGGGTGTTGTAATATATAAGTATTTTAGATATAAGATTTGTGGTTGATGAGATTCTCATTTCAATTTTATCCATTTTCATTTGTCTTCTCATGCATTTGTAACCATTAAACAAAGAAATGAACTTCTGGGAATTGAAATGGGAAAATATTATTATGATACCCATGCTAAAAAGGTCTAATTCAAACCTATTGTGAATACTCTTGTGCAAGCCAGTACAGAAATGTACTGTACATCAAGGTTAATATTGAAGGAGTGCAAATTAGCTTATCTCAAATTATGCTCTGCCTAATATAGAATGGAATGATTGTGAAATGGAATCTTAGCATGTGGTCTAAAATGGGAGAAAAATAGCTGCAATATGATAAATATTCAAAACTATATTTTTACCGACAGTACTGTCTTATAATTCTAATCTACGACAACATATAACAATTTAAACAGTTTAGTTGTAATGATGTTTCATATTGTACTGGGCCCAGTTGTTCAAAGCCCGATTAGTGCTAATCCTGGGTTAACTCTTAATAAGACCTATAGAGTTAATCCTGGATTAGCGCTAATCCAGCTTTGAACAGCCCGGCCCTGGCATTTATGTAACTGCAAATTGCTTTCCAAAACAAATAAATTAACACTGTTTTCATTGCCATGTGCTGATGGAGATAACAATAGTGACTTTGGAAATTGGGCAGTACATTACCGTCAATCAAATTAATGGTTCTAAGAAGGTTCCTTTTATATGGAATACTACTCTCTAAAGATTTATATTTGATTGATGGTGATCTTATGGCCCGATTTCTTTGTCAGGACTGTTATCATGACCGGCTTATAGCAATATAAACTGTGGTCTTATCATCACAGTTTATGAAATAATTCTCTGATAATTCATTTAGCATATATTATAGTGCAGTGTAAAAGCTTTCTAGTTATATATCCATTACTTTTTGACCGATAAAAATTTTTTTACAAATAAATCCTTAGGAGTTGGAAGATCATTTTAATTTGTAGTGACTTGCTACATGTACGTAAATTTAAGCGATGTACTTTTTGACAGATAAAAACATTTTTACAAATAAATCCTGAGGAGTCCTCATTTTAATTTGTAGTGACTTACTACATGTACGTAAATTTAAGTGATGTACATCATAATTATTATAAATACGATTTTGTTACAAAAAAAATCACCAAGAAAATGTAAAATGTATGTGACAGAAACTAGACATTTTAGAAAAATATAACCCAACAGATTAATACTTTTGACTCCTTTAGAAAATTCTGAAAAATGTCTAATATAAAAATAGTTTGATCTTTATCTTCACTCACTCAAAACAATTTAAAATAAGGACTTTGACAAGTGTGTTATGTGAAAGGCCATATATATTATCTGATCAAAGAACTAATTCTCCTTGTCAGTCTGTCAGTAATTTAAAGCTTATGTCAACTGGCTTTCTGGTTCTAGTTGCTTACTAACTTTAGGTTAGAATTTAATAATATTGGATTATTTTGTGACTGTCGATCTTGGAAACAAAAATTGAAGTAAGGCAAATGTATTATAAAAATACAACATGTTGCATGATTCTTTCTAAATTTCTTTGTTAGTTCATGAAGATTATACCTTGCATTTTCCTTATTCAGCTGTAGATTTTGAATTGTAGAGTTCTTACAAGTTAAGAGAGAATACTTTTCCATCACTAGTGGCATTTTTTCTGCTCCAACAGTCTTCATACATCCACTACACCTGCAGTTATTACTACAGACCGATTTTCTTTATTCATTGTTCAGAAATATGAATTGATTCATAATTTATGTCTTGATTAATAAAACATTTTGTTGATCATTCCTCATTTTTAAGTGCTTATAGTTATGTTCTCACAGCAGTTTAGACTTTTGTTTTACTACTGGAAAGTGAAATTTTATGAAACAAAACTAGGAAATGTTTTTCAAAGCATTTTATGAAGTGAAAGATACCACAGTGAGCAAGATCAATCAATTCATGGCAGTATCTGAAGCAGTTGAACCAGGAAATTATGTATTGTTTCAGTGCTGACAAGACACCCTATCTACAAAGGTTTGAGGAAATTAAACGTCAAGTTTACTTACAAAAAGATCAATTTATTTCCCAGTATTTGAGGAATATGGATGTGTTGGCATTAATTACTGGTGCTGGTAAATTTACGTTTTCTTTTAAACTTGTTCCTTCATACACACTAAAGATCACTTAAATTTTAACGTAAGAAAATTTATGCCTAAATAGTTGTTGTCCCTGTATTTCTCTTCAAATTAAGCCATTGAACCTTGCAAAATCTTTAGTAATCCTTTCTCACAAAGCTACTGACCAAGTCAAAGGCATTTTTGACACCAACATGCATTATAGAATATTTGTGAATGTATTTTTAAAATTCTGTATTTCTATTGAGTCCTTGGGATAAGTTTATCTAGGTGTTAACATTCATTGGTTATTAATCTTTAACTAACAGATTCTATCATCCTAGTGCCAATAGACATCACTGGGTTATCCCTAGGTATGGATACCAAGTCATATCCCTGGCCAAGTATTACTTTTGTAGAATACATTAGCAGAATATGAATTTGTTAAATTTAAAAAAAAATGTTTTGAAAATTGAAAGAAAAAAATTATTGTTGTTATTTTATTTTATAGCTTGTACCTAATATTTTCTTTTGTTATTGCTTTGAATTTGAATATTTCACCAAATTTTATTATTAATATTTAATTATTTTTTATTGATGATTCAAGTGTGATAGGGAAATAATGTCTAGTCATTTTAGTTTGTTTTTATTTCCCATTCTAGTTTTCACTTTTATTACCAGAATCCTTTATTGTCAGCATTTTTCAAATTTTATACAAAATTTATGTAAAACATTTTTCATCCAGGCAACAGTAAAGTCAATTTTAACCAACCTGAAAGAAGAAGTATTGGAAAAAATGATATATATCTTGTTCAATGTTTTAACAGGAACTTCAGTTTAGCCAAGCTATAGGGCTAGTTTAAATGGAGTCCTGTTTTTCAATTCATAACAATATCAATTATAAAATAAACTAGATTTAGGTTATTTTTTTATTATGAAGCTGTTTTCTCCATACAGTTGCGTACAAGAAACAGTAAAATTAAATTGCCAATTTAAACAAAGTTGTGGATTATAATAATTATTATAATCATTATTACATTCTACATATAAACACGCTATTGACACAGTGTCATAACTATTACGTTAGATCAGGACTACATGTAATAACAAAATAAGAAACTGTAGTTAAGTATCGTCATCATCATCATCATCATCATCATATTCATCATCATCATTCTTTACAATTTTTTCGTTAGAGTTTAATTRATAAACAACATGAACACACTGTGCTTTCATTGTTATTTGCCAAGTATTAGTATTTTCTTCCATTACTGCAGCATGATCATTCAGAATGCACTTGATGTGACTGGTTTAATCATTGACTGGCTCATCAATTCTGTACATTGAGTAATTATAAATAATAATAAATAATGATATACATTTTTCGACAGGCATCTCAAAATATCAATGCGTTTACAACTTGTAAAATAGATTAAAATATGTATATATCACTCTAACATTATTTAAGCTGTATTATATTTGGGCACCGGCACGTGATGGTACAAAGACTCTATTAATTTAATATCTTAAGCAAAACAAACTTTTCAGCCTAAGTTCTGATTGAATTTATAATGACAACTCAGAAGACTGAGGCCCCGTCCACACATATCCACGATGTTGCGCATGCTCAATAAGAATAACTATTTGCAATGGGACTAGGAACTAGCATGCATCAGGGCGGATCAAAAAATTTCCGGATACGTGTGGATGGGGCCTGAAAAAACAGTCGGCAGGTTGAAGAATGTCTTAATTAGTGTAGAATTTTGTGAAGTTTTACATTTTAATTTGTCTATTTTATTTAGTAGGTAACGACTTCCCTTATTTGGTTGTAATCTTGGTTTTACTAGCCATCATCTTGTTAGCTATTGTTATTATTATAACAGCCATCTGCRCAAGGTAAATGCCTTCAAACTAATAATCAGATACTTTTCATCCCAAAATCATTGTCTGCAGGATGACTGAGTAGGATTTTGGTAGTGTTGGATGCTGTTAACCAAACATCCTATTAACACTGAGTTTGGGGTAACAGAACTAACTTATGAACATTGTTTATTTATTGTAAATCTATTATTATATTATTTGTGAATTTTTATTTTATTAATAAGTTGTTTGTACCAAATTTCATTATTACAGGCCGTTTCATTTTTCTGAGACCTAACTGAATCCAGACTATTGAAGTTGTTTATGGTATTTTGGCTACCACCAATCAAATTTGCCATGGCCAAGTGCATTCCGATTGTGAACAATAAATATTCCCAGGACTCAACTACTAACAGTTATTTTCTATTGGAAAATACATTTATTGCTTCAATTGTAATGAACTCAGCCCGTGGCAAATTTGATTGGGGTTTGGAGTTGGTAAATAGCAGGTTACAGAAACATGTCATGGGCCTTAAGTGAGTTAAACAACTAGCTATAATGCACCTTGTTTCCCTTTGTCTCCTATCACTCCTTCCCCCCCCCCCCCAATCCCCATTATCCTCCGCCTTTCCTTTCCTCTTGTCTGAGAGATGGTTTGGTAGTTACTGCAGGTTTCAATATTATGTGAACTAATGGTAGATACAAGCTGCACCATAAAAATTGGTTTTTCGCTGCCAGTAATCAAGAAATAATCAGTCTGTACCTTTTTTGAATGGCAGCAGTTAAAACCAACTTCCAGGGGGGAACTCACAACTTACTATTAGCTTCACATAATATTGAAAATAGCAGTAATAGCAGTCTAGTACCTATTTTGATATCAATTTTAAGAATTAATATGTCAGAAACTGTCTACTGTACATATGTTACACATTGCTGAATTTATTTTATTCACAGAGGCAAATGCAGAAGTTGCAGAATGCCATTGAGGAGGCTCTTCACTCCTGAGCAACGACCTATTAATGATTCTGTAATGGAGAGAACAAGAGATCAGTCTTCTTGTAGAGGTAATGCATATCATTCTAAAAACTGTGTAGTCCCAAATACTGTCCACTGTCATTAATTTACCCTTACTTAAGTGTAAAAAAATGATCCAGCTCAGTTGATCTTGCTCCAGGAAAAGATTTTGGGTAAACTATTTTGGTAAACTATTTTGGTAAGCATTTTCGTAGCAGGGACAGAGTACCTTACTTGTAGATTTCTCTTTTCGATTGAAATGGAGTTTCTCCTTGAGTTAGACAAGCATTTACCATCAATTCAAAATATAAAAGATTTTGTGTTTCGTGAGTTCTTTTGACAGAATAATGGGAGATGCTAAAATCAAAATTACACATTGAATCCTCAATAATGATTTGTTGACCTTGAGTTGCTTATAAAAGTCAACTCATCTGGCTGGGGCCATTCTTATTTATTTCAATATAGTAAGTGCTTTGAAGTCAGGAAGAGATCCTTACGCTTGATATGTAGGCACTTTAAACAATTCTATGTATACTCACACATGACACTAAGCTCGGCAGGACTTGAACCTGGATCGCATTGGTGAGAGGTGGCATATCAGCTGTGCTTCCCTATTATATTCAATTAATAATATTTAGTTTAATTTGTATTTTTCTGAACTTTGTAGAGAGAAGAGACAGAGAAGCTGTACCATACGAAAAATTCTGGCAGCATGTGACTCTCCGACATGCTGACACTAACTATAGATTTTCTTCTGAGTTTGAGGTAAAATATTTGTCTATTACTAGAAATAAGAATATAATTTGCTTTAGTTTACAGTCATTTCTCTTTAATTTTTGTTTTATTTCATTCTGCACATTTTTTTTGACAGTCTCTACAAGGAAAACAGGAAAAGAATAAGAAAATAACCTGGAATCAGTCTCAGAGACCAGAAAATCAAACTAAAAACCGCTTTGCAAATGTTGTAGCATGTAAGTAATCATTATTTTTTTAGCGAAATATCTAAATTTGAAAGAAAAAAAGTTATTGGTCATGATCCAACCCTGAAACAGTGTTTTGGCTATCTCATAGATGGAATTGGAATTTAGCATAAGTTAAGGGAACAAAGCCAAAGAACTTTGAGAAAAATCCTCAAATCAAGAGAGACCTTTACAAACTCACATGATTCTGAATCTAGGAATCAAACCTGTTTCTCTTAGAGCTGAGTGGCTTAGAGCAATACCAATATGCTACTCTTTCAAGACATCCCATGCACAGAAACAAAGAGAAAATTCAGTCTGAAGTTACTTTAATTAGTTTACAAAATAAATGGTCTGTTACGTTTTTGCAGATGACCAAACAAGGGTCGTACTGTCAACAATTGATGGTATGCCAGGATCCCATTACATTAATGCTAATTAYGTAGATGTAAGTATTATATACTGTAGATATAACACCTACAGCTAAAAAAAGGTTTAAGGGGTGAGCAGAAAATGGTGATTGGTGATTGACAGTTACACATTCCACTGAAAGGGGGTAATACAATCATCTATTCACAAAAGTTATTTAAATAATCAAGGTGTTTGTATAGGAAATTGCTGCTAGGATTTCATTGACAAGATTTCATTCACAATTTGAAATTAATAGGTACAAGTTATGTTTTGAAATTGGATGAGCCTTTAGGTGAGGCAAATTTAAGAACTTTCAAAACATTATGAGTGTTTATATCAATTCAGAATCGTTAGAGAAGTTTATGTGATTTTTCATACATTACACTCAACAAAATTGAGCAGCTTATATTAGTTGGGACTTTATAGATTACAATTTAACAATTTAATTATACTCCTCTTGTCCATAATCAGAATTGAATAGTATTTTGTTGGGTGTATTTGTAAATTTTATTAATAAATGTAATTTTTACTAATAGTATGTGAAACACTAAATATTTCAACCAGAAAGCCTCAACAATAACCTCTGTGTTCTTGACAAGAATAATAGTTAATTTGATATTTAAGAAACACCTGTTCAGTCATTCCAGTCACCTATCGCCTATTGCTTATTACCTATTGCTGCTTGCCCGTTTAAATTTTTTTCAAATAGCTGACAGTTTATAACAGGGAAGAGTTTCAAATTAATGCAAGGCATGCACAAAGCCCCAGATGTTTTTTCAATCCATAATTATTGGGATAAATTTTTGAAAGCCTGAAAAGTTTGAAATGGAAGTAATGGAAGGTTCATTTTTCCCCAGAGTTATAAAGCAATGAATTTTTACATAGCAACTCAAGGTGAGACAACAGATAATAGGCAACAAATCTTACTTCTTGCCAGTAACGTTAATATTATTATCTTGACATTGAGAATTATCTTAAACAAAATGAGGCTAAAACAATAAGACTAGCTGTCAGCATGTGGAGGAATAGTTTGATTGTGGAATGAATGAATGAAATATTCTCAGATGAACAATCATTTTAGGTCTGTGGATGGAGAACCTTTAATGAACTACAACGACGATGCGGCGGCCATCTTGAATGTTAATGCATTATGGCTAGTCTAGGGGGCAAATATATCTTAAATGACATCCATTTATATTAACTCACCACAAAAGAATGCGAAAAAGAGGAATTTTGCCAGCACATTGATCACGTTTGCCCATAAAAAAAGACACAAAAATTTATATATTTTCAGTCATTGTTGTTTGGTTTTGCCCCCTGGCAAGATGGCTGCCATATTGTTGCAGTAGTCCATTGATAGTGTTGAGGGTTGACACTTACAAAGTTTATAAACTGGTGCATATTCAAAAAAAGGTTTGGGTGTAAAGGGCCATTTGCCTATCTCTACAGTGCCTGGAATTGCTGTGAACTTAAAGATTTTTTCCCCCTTTCTCTACAGGTCCACTTGCAAATACTATAGCAGACTTTTGGAGAATGGTTTGGGAGCAGAATTCTAGAGTAATAGTAATGATCACCAAAATAATTGAAAAAGGAAGGGTGAGTGTTTTCATGGTCATAGTAAATAATAAATGGTGTGTACCCTGGCTAACAAAGGTTTTCCTTTTCTTTTCCTTGTTCTTTTCGTAATAATGGTAGACAGAAAGAATAAACCTGGGACCAGGGCATAGATGGGAATTCTTTAATTACCATTTTATGCATATGAAATAAAGTGACAACAAAATCCTCTATCATCTTTTCTTATCTTTTGCAGCATAAATGTGCACAGTACTGGCCCACAAAGAATAGGAAATCAGATGTCCATGGGCAACTGAGGGTGACATTCCTTAAGGAAGAACATTTTGCTTTTTATACATTTAGAGAATTTGAAATCAAGCCTATCCAGGAAAGCACTCATTATAGTCAGGTATGAAAGATACTGTCAAATAAAAAAAACCCTGTCCTTTTTTCATGAGGGTAGCAATATTAATAGTCAGTGGCTAACAAACCTGTGGCCCTCATTCCGTGATTGAATTGGAAGTTAGGAGTTGATTTTTGTGAACATATGTAGGCAAGCAGTGACTTGCAAGTTTATCGTCAGTTTTTTGACTTGTGAGTAGTAGCACCTTTACGGTCAATAGTTTGCTCTTTGGTGCTTGCCGCAGGTAGCAAGGAAAAGGGTGCACACTGCAACCTGTGCCCTATTCTCTTCCCATGGTTAGCCTCTGTGTCCCTCCCCTTCCCTCATCTCATTCCCTCTCCCAAGAGCCACCATGCAGGCTTCGCCAGGGTCAACATGTTTTGGGAAGTTCAGGAAAATGTAGAGCAGACCTCATCCCCACTGCTACTAAGGCCGCAATCATTATCAAGTAATTTTTCATCATTGTACCTGTAAAGTACCAGACAGGATTGAGAATACATTGAGAGGTTAAGGGAAGGGAAGGGTAAAGCAGCCCCCCCCCCCCCTTCCCACCACGTCAAGCCCCCACCACTATAATTCAGGAAGAAATCATTGTCAAGATAGGGATATTTCCATGATTGTACCTGTAAAGCACTAATCACCATTAATTAATTGATTTTTCAGAGCTCTTGTAATGAACTGTATTGAGCTTTTTCACTTTAACATTTATTAAAAATAACAAGATCATAAACTTTAAAATGTTTGGAAAAATTCAGAATCTCCAAAATAATCCTTAATATTTAACTGTGATTTCATTCTTGTTCTTCTAACTTTCTCTTTAATGTGTTGTATTCAGTTTAAGCACCCATCTTGTCTAACAAATGGAAGAACGTGGGTAAGATACAGTCTCCTTTTTGGGGGAAGATCTTTGAGGAATTAAACATGACTTGAAATAAAAATGCATATTTTTTAAATGAATAAAAAATAAATTGTCCACTAATTTTGAGACGTGTACACGACCTTGACTGAATTACTTAAAAATAATTTATTACCAAGAATGTCTGCCACTTATAAAACTAAAAACTTACAAGACATTTTAACCCTTTCCCCAAACTCTTATAGAGTACAAACACTAAAATGTGCAACACTTTGAACTATTTAGTGGTAATTAGTGCTAATTAAACAATAGAAAACAATAGGATTAGCATAATTTAGCAGTATTTAGTGGTATTTATGTTACACACTTATAGTGTTTGTACTCTACCACTTCTTAACATACTTTTAAACTAAAGAAATAAACACTGAACAATAAAATACTGATAACATTAATCGCATTAACTGTTTTTCTGTTCGGTTCTATGCTGTATTGTCAGTGTTGTTCGCTACATTCTGAATTAAAATGTAAATAACGTTGATATTTTAAATCTTATTTGGTCGTTTTTGTGTGAGATCTTTCTTTAGTTCCCTGTTAGAAGATACATCTTCCTCAGAGTAGTGATGGTAGACAACCTAACCTAACCCTTACCCCAGTGAAAAGACCCCTCCCATGTTGTGTTGTCCTCCAAATTGAGCTGCATTCCAAGGTGCCGCAAGGTGTCAATTTGGGTCACCTGCTTGCAGCTCGACTTTAGCCAGAGTTTAGATCAGCTGCACGCAGGCTACGATTTGGGTTGATATAACCTACATTATTTCATCCCTATTAAAAATGGTTTTCATTGTTTTGTTAGGATTCCACAGATGAAGCCATCAAACCAATGATAGTACAACAGTTTCACTTCACAGGCTGGCCTGATCATGGGGTCCCAGATCCTGGTTATGAAATACCAGTCTTGGACTTCATCTTTAAGTCTACTGCAGCACAGGTGGAAGGGGCAGGCCCCATTGTTTTACATTGTAGGTACGTGACTCCAGGGGCGTTGTGAGGTCTCAATTATAGGGGGACAATGTACCATTTCCCGCCAAATACACAGGAATCCTGCATGAATAAATTAAATTTTGGTACCGAACGCTTTTTGTTTTGGGGGGGAGCACTTGCCTCTCCCCTTCGCCTGTGCACCCCTTTTCTGTACGATAGCGTGTAATCCGAATCAATTGTGGGAGGAAGTTTAAAGAAAGTTTTGGGTCAGAATATGATTGGTTAAAACATATTTACGTCACGTCATATGCTTGGTATCATCAACTGCATTCAGCCAATCAGAGAGTGCATGGTATGCAAGCTATTTATGGTTTGCAAGATATTGACAAAGAAAGCTTAATAATCGAGGAATCTTTTGCTTATTACTGTCAACATGGTCACGATGGTATTCAAACGAAGCTATTTATTGATTTTTACAACATGTTCCCTTTACCTTTTTCAGGATAACTAATAAGATTTTCTTTCTATTTTTCAGTGCTGGTGTTGGTCGTAGTGGTGCTTTCATAGTGATTGACAGCATGATCAAGCGTATCCATGACAACGGTGATCTAAATATCTTCAGTTTTCTTGCCCATATAAGGCAGCAACGGAACCATTTAGTTCAAGAAGAGGTATATGATTGGCTACTCATTTCCATCTGTTTGTGGGAGATACATTGACCTAATGGTTAAAGTAATGGACTTCTACCCGCAGGGCAAGCATGATACTAATAAACTACCAATGGGAAAGGGGACCACAGGTATCCCAAAACTCTAGAGGTCGTTGCATAGTCGTGGAATCAATACTAATATATAATCAGTACTGATATATAATATCTTGTCTACAGTGTCAGTATATCTTCGTGCATGACGTATTACTAGAGTACATCAACTGTGGCTTCCTCCTGTCCTTACCAAAGAGAGCACTAAAGGAACACTTGTACAAAATACGAACACAGCCACACCATACTGGGAAGACCAAGATTGTCGTAGAGTTTGAGGTGAATCTTACTGATGCATTTAACATTTTTTCATTCTTTCCTTTTATGCTTATACCTTTCTAATATTACGTGGCAAGAGAGAATCTTCATTATATCTGGACGTGGGGTAGGGGGAGAGGAAGGGAAAGGATGGAAGCAGCTTCGAAACTTTCAATTTGCTTTTTTAAGACTTAGGAAATCAAATTAATTGAAAAGTTCGTGGGCAAAAGTAGTTTTGTTTTAGAGCAAACTTGCTCCCGGGTCCGTGGTCGTGGAAGGCCCTAGGGACGAGCTGTTTGTTTTAGAGCTATAAGAGTTTAAAGAGGTGAAAAAAGTGTTTTCTTGATATTGACCTCGTCAAAACATTGTCATCACGATGAGCGACGCGCACTTAACTTATACGTAGAAAGGCTGCGCGCGAACAATTTCGTCCTTAAGTGCTTGCAGTTTCTTTCACTTTTAATTGGTCTCTTTAATCCCCAATATATATGAAGTTTTAAGTATAGCTTTCCCTATCTTGCCTTCTGCGCAGATGTTTTCCAGGTCGTCACGCTTCGTCACGTCTTTTTCCCCACCTTTTCTTCACGTTACGTGACGACCGTAAGAACGTCTGCATTGCAGGCTATCCCTGTACTTCACTAAAAATTTTGCTTCGTCCCTTAACATAAAGTCCTTCTTGAGTGAACAGAATACGCCTGTTCATAGTTTAAGAATCGATTCCACTGCGCATGCGATTTTATCCCGAATTTCTCAACTTCTTTTGTTTAATTAAGAACAAAAGAAGGTTTAGACAAAAGGTGAGAAATTCGGGATAAAATCGCATGCGCAGTGGAATCGATTCTTAAACTATGAAAAGGCTTATACTGACTTGATAAATGATTGGTTTTCAGAGATTGAAAAATATTAATATGCAAGAGTATAACTTAAAAGAAGGCCAGAGAGCTTGTAACGTTATCAGGAATAGAAACCCTGATATCATACCAGGTATTTACGAAAGCTAGGATATGTGTTTATTGATTATACGGCGGCCATTAGGGATCGCGAGGCATCCAGGGGGCAAATATAGCTTTGTTACAATAATGATGTCGATTGATATTAACGGCTCATCCAAGGAAAATACAACAAAAGATGAATTAAGACGACACTTACATAAAAGAAAAACAAACATACGAAACTCTATATATTTTCCGCCATCTTTGTTTTGTTTTTTCCCACTGCGAGATGGCCGCCGTATTGTCGAAGTAGTCCATTATTATACGTGGCCATTTTTACTGTAACGAGTCGTGACCACTTATTCTGGGTTTCAGAGGTTCTAATTCTTACGAGGGGTGTCAAGGTCGTCATCACGTGTTAAACAGTAGATGGTTTTTCTCTGGTTCTTTCTGGTTTGCTGCCTTTGCAAAACTAAACGGGAATCTTGTTTTAGAGCTCCATAAGATATATGAACTATGGATAAAGCGAGTATTGACATTGCTTTACTAATTACTATTTCATTATGCAAACTGCTAGCCGATTTGCTAATGATTCACCATTGCGTTGGTTTCCTTTAGTGGATACGTGTCGTGTCAAACTGTACCCACGACCAGGTGTAGAAGGGTCTGACTACATTAACGCCAGTTACATTGATGTGAGTAAACTAACACTATGGTATTATAGATACAATTATCCATGTGGAAGACTGCCATGCTTGCTAAACTACCCTGCTAGTCCCTTCTTCGCCTGCATGCAGTTTACAAATTCCATCCAATTGTCTCCCACTTTTTCTTCGTCTTGAACATTTCATCTAGTACGTGAAATTCCAAAATGAAATGCGCCTTCTGTTGATCTTTCTTCAGGGTTTCTGGYGCCGTGAAGCATACATTGCCACTCAGTGTCCATTAGAGTCCACCCTCTTTGACTTCTGGAGAATGATATGGCAGGAAAACTGTCGAAGTATTGTGATGTTACTCTCTAAAGAAGAAGCAGATCAGGTGAGTAATTCTTAATATTTTAAGCTGCATGTATTTTGTTTCGGAATAAAGGGTACCGTACCTTTCATTGTGGCCGAGGTCCCAGGAACTCTTCACACAAGTGCCAATCTCGGCCGCCAGGACTGGTTTAGAAGAATACTTTCAATTCCGCGTATACATTAATTTGTAACTGTCATTTGGAATCTGCTGGATAAAGTGCTCATGCAGTTCCATTGGTTTGCTGTTTTCCAATCTATTACGATTGTAACCATTGTTATTATAACCAAGGACCCTTTCCATTTACCCGGACTGAAAAGGAAATTCCGGTTGGAAAAAAAATGGTTTGTGTCATTTCATTCGTAAAGTTTCGGAAACTCGCTCTTCAAATTAAAGTAATACACTTTTCCCGCTCTTTTTGGTTTTCCGGTAGACGCGCGTACCATTCTTTGGAAGAAAAAGTTTTCGCTCTTTCATAACCATTAGCCAACGAATTTTCAACCGGATGGATTGGTCGAATAGGTAAGCCCCCCTGCAGGTAATACATACCAAGCATTATGCGACGCTAGAAAGAAGAAATGGCTTACGTTATCTTCATTCTGATGCTTCTTTATGTTTATTTCAGAGTACGTATCCACGGTATCTACCAGTTGTCCATGACACGGCTCGCTTCGGCGTGTATGAGGTAACCATGGAGTCTGAGTCAGCCAGAGGAGACTTTATGATACGAGACCTGAAGATGACTTCTGTAAACGTGAGTTATCTCATAATACAACCATTTGTGACGTCATTCATTTTCAAATTTCGCGCTTCAGTACTGAAATTGTAGAAGTTTAAAAGGAGACATCCGTGGTTACCGGTACTTTTAAAGTGCGCACATTCTTCTCATTCCTTGTTTCATCCTTCATCCTCCAAATTGAAGTTTAAATTCCATCACTTTTCTTCCTGGCGTCCGTGCACAGCATTTGCAGTTTAATACGTCCACTACACTCCGAGTACCTCGACTGCAACTGCGCCAAGTTCGGACCAAGTTTTTTCTTCCGCAAAGTTGTGCGCAAGTTTTCCACTACGCATATAACGTTAAGTTGAGACAGCTTCAGAAAATGGAACACGGGGTAATAATTCTCTTGATATTGTTGGCAAATCTAAAACACTCAGGAAAACCAGTTACTTAAAACATTAGGAAAAACATAAATAGACCTATTTACGTGGAGCTTAATGTTTTCTCATTACAGACCACATGTCATTCCCTTGAGAATAAGATTCTTTGTTTGAGTCGTATCCATATTTATGCCACGCTTCTGATTGGTCCGCTGTAGAGTTCTCTTGCGATTGAAATGGAATTCCATCATACATGAACTCGACTGACAGCTCGACTAGTTTGAAGAATTAGTATTCATGGTTTCTCTTGGCAGGGTCATGGGAAATGCTAATCAAAATACAATGTTCAATCCTCAATGTCAATTATTAACTCTCATTGGTTGACCTTGACTTCGTTCTGAACAACTCAGCCTGGCATCGTCTTAGGCGCAACCGTTAAACAAAGAAATCATTCTTTGGAGAATGACATGAAAATGAAATGGCAAAACATTACGCCCAATTAAGGTGACATGGGCCTATAGATGCAGTCTATGATAACAATTTTTAACGTTCAGGAACCTGGTGAAACTCGAAAGATTCGTCACTTCCATTTTCTACATTGGCCTGAGGAAGGCTTTCCATGGTCTGGACAGTCTGTCCTTCAACTTATTAGTAAAGTAGATGAATGGGAGAAAGAGGTCAAGAGCAACTCTAAACCTTTCGATATGATTGGACCCATTGTCGTGCATTGTTCGTAAGTATTTTTTGCTATAATCTGAATCAAATTATATTGGGCTGCGATACTATAGCGAATAAAGATCACATTCGTTCTAGTCCGCGTTTCCCAGCGTAGAGTTGCTACTATAAGTTTGTTTACGTTGATTCTGTGCGCGTTGTTACTGTCTTGCAAAATCGTAATCACTAGAGTTTGGCCACTTAACTGCTTTTTTCTACCTAGCCTCATTCAACCGTAGCCATAGTTTCGCCTCGCCTAACTATATGAGTGGTGGGGGTGGGTAAATGGTAGCATACACTGCATCGAAATATGGCGACCAATTTCAATAGCTATTGTTCTGGACTGACTAACGAAAGACTAGCTGCGCGTTGATGTTACGTGGAAACATAAAAGTTTTTCACACGTATGAGAGGCTAGTCAGTCGCTAGTCAGTGCAGAATAAGAGTTAATCAAATTGGTTGCCATTTTTCGATTCTGTGTAAAGTATGGAGTTGTTTTCTTGCGCCTTTATCTGATCAGTTCTTCTCGGGCAAAGTACACTTAGAAACCTAATACACCGTGTTAGATGACTGTTCAACCAGTGATTATGCTGGGACACTGCACGGGCATAAGCTGAAAGTGAGCTGAGCTTTTTTTTATTTCAGAACGGGAGTAGGTCGTACGGGGGCGTACTGTATTCTTCATACCTTGTGGCATCAAGTTACCCGAGAAGACGTCGTGTCGGTATACCCTACTGCCCGACTGCATTTCCATCAAAGACCTAAATTCCTACTTACACAGGTAGTATGATAGATCATAAGTTTGCAAAGTTTCCTTAGACCCATTCACCTATCTATCCCTAACCCCAGCTCTCAGGGAGGGTACCCATCCGACATCTCTGCTCACCTTACAAGGTGCCTATTTGTCCCTATCAAGACCTCTCACGGTACCCACCCAACCCCTAACCCATTTTTAAGGTTGTCTCCTGTCCTGCCTCGCCTCCCAGGGTACCCACCGAACTCCTACTCTCACCTGCCATGGTACCCATTGTTCTCTTCCTCCACTTCTCAGTGTACCCATCCAACTCTCACTCTCACCTGGCACGGTACCCACTTGTTCCCAACCTCCACTTCTCAGTGTGCCCATCCAACTCTTGCTCCCACCTGGCACGGTACCCACTTGTTCTCAACCTCCACTTCTCAGTGTACCCATCCAACCCTTACTCTCACCTGGCACGGTACACCCAATCCCTGCTCCCATCGTCCTGACCAATCTTGATTTTGTTTTATTGTCTTTGACATACCATGAGTTTGTTCTATCATGAGGTTGTGCAATTTTAACGGATTATATTTGATTCGCATTTGCAGGTGCAGTACGAATTTTGTTATGATACCATGGTAGAATATATAGATGCTGACTGTTCGCTGTATCTGGTCTGACACCATGGTAGAATAGATTACTGACTGATCGCTCTATCTGGTCCATCCAAAGTATGTGAATATACCACGATAGAATATGTAGGTAATGTCTTTACGCAGTATCTGGTCCTATGCGCAAAGAATGCCACCATGGCATGGTAGAATAGATTACTGACTGATCGCATATACTATGGTAGAATTTGTACGCAATGTCTTTTTACCGTATCTGGTCCTATGCGCAAGGTATGCCACCATACCGTGGTAATGCGTCTTGTCTATAGACTGGTCGCCACAAGGCCTCATCATCTGACCATGATTATGTCGAACAGCAACAATGAAATAAACTTGCTTGATGCGAATTTTATGCTAAGCTTGCTGTTGTCTAAGCTTTGCTTGTGCTGAAGATAAATATGCGTGTTAAAATTTGATTGGTTATTTAGGCCTGTATGGCACAAACAATTCCCGTTCTTATTCCCAAGAAAAATGCTAAATCGAGTATGGAATAAAAATTTTAGTCGAGCACTGTGATTGGGTCAAAGCTCATTTTGACTGTCACAAAGCTCAGTACAAAGCTAAAAAATTAATTAGGAACACTAAGAAAGTGTAGTTTAAAAAAAACATTTGGATTTTTATCAAAAAATTATTTAATATTAGTTTTGTTGACTCCTTTTAATCAAATATTAGCCCTATATATTTATATGATTTTAATAGCAGTATTTTATTTTCTCCACATGTCGTTATTATGCGGCTGCTAAGTTCTTATGATGTAGCCTTTGAAACCAGGCCTTTGGACGTCGAGGCTTGGCAACGAAGAACGGGAAACGAGTCCAGCTCTTATCTTCTCCAATCTTTCTAATCCCATTCCCAGAATCAGTCCAAACAGATTCTATTGGGTTGTTTCCCTTTAATCCCCCTCTCTTTCCTAGCTCCCCGTCCATAGAAGCCTGGTAACGAAGGTTACTGAACTCCGAAGTTGTATATGTTTTGTCATTTGAAGTGATGCGTAATTCTAATGTTTCAGCAAGAGAATAAAATAATAATGGCTCTCACATAAGGAAGGCCATCCAAATAATACTATTAGGTTGAGTCAGGCATTAAACAAAAGAAGGGAATCGAGAAATGTAAAATATTATTAGCTTACATTTTCGAGAAGCAAAGCTTCTTTTTAGATTATTATGTATTTTTTCTTTTACATGTCGTGAAGCCAAAGGCTTTTTTTTTAGTTAGTTCAGATGTACACATCACGAGATTCAATTAATAGAATTTATTAACGAGTAGTAAGAAGTCAGCGAAGTCTGCATCAGCCTTTTCGCGCTCATCGCTAGTCAAACCGGAGGTCTTTCGAAGATGCTCCGAATGTCTTCGGACAAGGTTCTACGACGGTGCTCCGATTTGTCTTGAGAGTAAAGGCGCAAAAAGAGCGATATGATAATTAAAGTGAGTATGACGTTTAAGAACGGAGCGTGAAAATTGCAATGCAATATTAAAATTTATTAGTAATCAAATATATGTTTATTGATATTATCGTGTAGGCTTTGGGAATCAAGGGTGGTGTAGTTTTTTTTTTTTTTTTTGTAAACTCATCTTAACGTGGCTACCTGGCTACTTGGCTACATCACTGGCTAAACACTATGAATTTGTGTCAGTGAGTTAATTGCCCTATTTCAATATGACGTCACTGCTTGTTTATGTGGGGGAAAGAATCGCCAAATCCAATAGAAAATTCAATAAAATTTGCTCCAAGCGAAACAGTTTAATCTAAAATGGCCTGGTTTTCAGATATAATATGTGTTAATACACCGTATGTACTAAAAAGTATTCTGAGCGTTTGCTGGCTATTATAATTCTCTTCGTGGATTGATACGGGTTTTAGAACAATTTTCGTTGAATTTTCGTTGATTTGACCCCCTCCGACGACCATGATCCTTTGCGTTTAAACAATAGATTGTTTTGATGTGACGTCATGGTGAAATAGGGCAATTGGGCTTGCTGTGGATATTTCAACGGCTAATTCCTGTGGCCAAGTAGCCAAGTAGCCATTGAAAAGATTTAGGCTATATGGGCTACGTGGCTACGTGGCTACGTGGCTACATCGCTACATCAGTGGCCACAGGCTTCCCACTATGAATTTGTGGTTATATACTCCATGGCTAAATACCATGGATGCACTGGCATGTATGCGTAACTCTCATGTATAACTATCCTTCGCCATCCCTAGCCATCCTTTACCTTCCCTTGCCCTCATTGGCCCTCCTTGGCCATCCTTGACCCTCCGTAACCTCTCTGGCCCTCCCTGGCCCTCCCGGACTCCCTGGCCCTCCTTAGCTCCCATGGCCCCCCTGGTCCTCCTGGCCCTCCCTGACCCCCTGGCCCTCCCTGACCCCCTGGCCCTCCCTGACTGCCTGGCCCACCTTGCCCCCTGGCCTTCCCTTGCCCCCTTGCCCTCCTTAGCCCCCCTGGCCCTCCTTAGCCCCCCTGGCCCTCCTTAGCTCCCCTGGCCCACCCTGGTCCTCCTTGGCTCTCCTTAGCCCCCTGACCCTCCCTGGCCCCCATGCCTCCCTTGCCTCCTTAGCCCTCCCTGGCCCCCCTGGCCCTCCTTATCCCCCTGATCCCCTGGCCCTCCTTATCTCCCTTGCCCTCCCTAGCCCTCAGGGCCCTCCTTGGCCATCCCTGGGCCACCTTGCCCCCTGGCCCTCCCTTGCCCCCCTGGCCCTCCTTAGCCCCCTGGCCCTACCTGGCCCCCTTGTCTCCCTGGCCCTCCTTAGCCCTCCTGGGTGTGCCAAAAACCTGGACCTGGGCCATGGCCCTACCTATGGCCCTATCTATGGCCTACCCTTATTTCTCATAAATTCTCCGGAATATCAATCTTTTTCACAGTATTTATTGCCAGAAATCCTCTGAAAGAATCTTAGCTGACAATGGCAGCCTGACAGCTATCTTGTTAGCACGGCAGGAGCCAAAACTTCTATTGTAACTAATATTAGGCTTCCTGTGCATTTATTTGAGCCATTTGTTTTGATGAGTCAGCAGATTTTTCTTTCTTGACGTTTTGAGCACGAGGTGAGTTGATGTGTTTATATTTCATTGTTTTCTTTTCTCTTTTGGGATAAACTGCAATTAAAGTAATGTGATATTGATCTCTTTTTCAGTAAAGAGTCTACATACAAGTTTGCTGATGGGTTTGTTTGATTATCTAACACAAGACTGATAATTGCATTGACACATGCTCGAAAATTATCTTCTAGTCAATGGTACGTGTACATGTATGTTGATGTTCAGGATTTATTTGTTTATCAGTTTGTTTATCAGTTTTGTTTAAAATCAATTTACTTTCAGCAGTAGGTTCTCAGTTCAATAATAATAATAATAATAATAATAATAATAAGAGTCTTAATTAAATACTTTTACATATCATAGTATTGAATTGTATGTCCCAATTAGTGGGACAAGATTAAAAAGTAACCCCCAGTAATTCCAAAGATGGCCCCCTGGCCTTTGCTGGCTCCCCTTGCCCCCCTGGCCCTCCCTGGCCCACTTTGGCCCTCCTTGGCCTCCCTGGCCCCCTTGGCCCTCCCTGCCATTCCTGTCTCCCCTTGGCCCCCCTGGTAACTTTGACTCAGTTTTGAATCCTTTTACTAACCACGTATCGTTCCACTTCACTGGTTTGGATATATAAAAAAATATATTTGAAGAATATAATCAATAATGGAGAGAAACAGTTGGCGAAAAACTAATAACCATTTAAACACATTTCTAAACAAATTCCTGAAATAAATATATTTATGTCGTCAGAGGGGACGAGTCTTAGTCTGGTCTAAGTTAGGTCAAGATTCTTGTGTAATTCAAGATGGAGAGTATATTATAACTTAGTGACGTCAGTAACGCAACGCTGTTTTCTCTGTCTACAAAACCGCATCAGTTGTGTTCGCAAGTTCTAAAAATACACACCTAAAATGTTCCAAAGTATCCTCTCCTCCATAGCGGTACATAACAAAGATTGGGTGTTAAATAAGCTCCAGCATACCAGCACGTTAGGCAACCCAGTGCATGCCCCAAGAGCATCTTGTTTAAGGGTTGAAGGTCTTTGAATCGAAAGAACTACTAATGTTGTCACAAATACCGATAATGAATTACTGATGAATTACAAGCTCAATCTAATTTTTTGACCAAGACGAGCGAAAAGATAAAGACAATATTTTTGGGCGTGGAACTTTAAAGACCATAATTAACGGTAAATGACTGACCAAGATCATCTGGGAAGAAGATTAACGACAGAGATTTTGAACCACTAACCTATACCAAGCTAGAATATTCGATGCCTCGTTCACCTTTAGATTTGATTAGCACTGGTAATCCGTTTACAACACTCGTGATTTCATATGTGCGAAATAGTTACCTCTACGGAATAAAGCGGTTCAGAAACAATGTGCAATAATGAATCACCACGCTTTGCGCGCGCTGAAACAAAGCGCAACTCGAGCCCGGGGGTGGGGGGGGGGGGTCCCCTATTTTCGCTATACGGGTACGTGCCGCCAAACAGGGTATGGTTTTCAGCAGATTCTACTCTGGAACAGGGCATATAAAATGGTGCTCGCTCTGGGACAGGGTATATGAAATCACGCTCTCTCTTCTCTGGGACAGGCTATCTATTTTCGCAAAACCGGAATAGGGTATGGTTTTAAGCGATCTTGCTCTGGAACAGGGTATGAATTTCAGCGATTTTACTCTGGAACAGGGTCAGGGTTCAGAGGGCTCAGCGGCACATCCCTACCCTAAACGGGCAAGAGTACCCCCCCCCCCCCCCCCCACACGGGAACTCGAGAAGACTGCATTTTTCATAGAAACTAACTTTTGATTAAGTATCCTCTTGAGTAAGTCCAAAGCGTGACACAAATAAAGCCAATTTTCGAGGGCAGGGTATCGTATAGCTCGCCGTTTCCCTCTGCGGCTTTCCCCTGCCACTACAGCATAAATATCATAGGGACATAGTGATTTGATTTCGGCGATCCCCACGGACTATCCAGTTTAGATTTCACTTGATATCAACACTCTAGGAAAATGTATATCGATCGTGCATTGTTGTTGACACGACGTGTGTTCTGAAGATCGCCATCAAAATTGATTAACAAACAGGTCACGAAACGAGAGAATTTCTAGTAATTTTTGTGGTAATTTGAGCTGCATGAATGAATAGTTGGACCTGCCCAAGTGTCTGCTTTTTGTGTAGTACGTAATTACTCAACTTTTATCTTTACTTTAACTTCTTATTAATTTATTTATTTACTTATTCCATTTTGGAATATAATTCTAAAATCATTATAGGACCACTTCTATTAGCGTATTAGCGTATACTTTTATTTATTTATTTATTTTTTATTTTTGGTATGGGTTGTGTAGCGGCAGCCACAGGCGCCAAGCAAAGCTCACAGCCTACCACAGTTTGTGGTTTTTCTTTTTGTTTAAAGCGCCTAGAGCAGATTTGGATAGGCGCTATATAAATATTTATTATTATTTATTATTATTATTATTCTATAGATTTTATAATTAGTCTCTATCAATATATATATCATATAATAGGTTGCTATCAATAGACGTCACTTCCGGTAATAGCTCTTTTTTGATGGCTTGTAGACTCCTGGAGGTTGTTTTGATCTCTTATTTTCTGGTTTGATGTCGTGAAAATAGTCAAATACAATAGTTTGAGGACTTATTTATATATGTTTTGACTTAGCATCCGCTAGTTGCCCCCCAGCCAACCGCTTGTTTGCCCCCCAGTCAACTCCAAAAAGTCACGTGATTGATAGTAAGCAATATATACATGACTCAGTGACCGGCTAAGTGTATTATTGCAATTCGTGTAATTATTTAGGTGTCCCCGATATATTAGTAAATTGCTCACTTGTGGCAAGCTAGTAGAACGACACAATAATAAAGTGATTGATTGATTGATTGATGAAATCTCGAATGAAATTTAACATTGTTGATGGATTTGTTATCGGTCCCTTGGGATTCTTTCCGATTCTTGCGCTGCCGTCCTCGACTCAAGCTAAAAAGATACACGGTGTTTGAAAAGTGAGACTAATTCGAAATGTTCTGAAAGTGCGCGAAAAAAAAACATAGCTCCAATACTCTCAAATCCTTTGCCCAACGTCGTATTTACGGAAGAAAAGGTTAATAACCCGACGAGTAACCTAACTCCAAATGATTTGAGTGTAAACTAATACCCTACCATCCTTTGGTATTTCGCGGTGGTCTTCAGCGCATCCTCCTGTAGAAAATATCTTCTTTTGATTGGCTGGTTAGAACATTCCGTCGGTTCATTCGCGCGTATCGTGTTTCCGGTGTCTTTCGCTCCGCTGCTCCCTGCTCAAGAATTATGTCACATTTCTCTTGATGTCAGTCTTTTGGCGGCCTTTTCTTGGCTTTTTTCTATAGATCTCCACTCTTAGTTCTCTTTGGAGTTACTCGGATTATCATAGAAGGATCCTATTGATTTGGATTTCTCGCAGAATTGTTTTTAGCGCGCTAGAAGACTCACATCTTGATCGAGCGTGATCGGATTTCAGAGCTAGACTGTGACCGCGACCACGATTTACGTTGGAAATCTCACCATTCATCGAACTTGAGAGGAACTCAAAAGCGTCCTACGCATCTAGGGAATCTGAAGGTATATATAATACTATGTAAAGAATACTAAAACGTTAGTGTATTTGTAAATGGCTTTGAAGAGAAACAAGTTTGCGATGCATCTATCGAGGAATCAATCTCTCCCTCGTCCGTTTTCAGACTGAAAGAGTCACACAACTACATTCGAAATACATGGATTATATATTTCTTTATCTTGCAGATAACAAGGCCAAAAAATCCGCCTTTCTATAAGACGTCTGCTAGTGAAGTCAAGTTTTCCAAGATGCGTTGGGTTTCCATATTAGTTTGCTGCCTAGTCCTTGCCTTTTCTGGTAAGTTGTGAGTTTATCGTTATAACTTAACTGTCTTCAAACTTTCACACCTTACGAATCACTCATCCAAAAAACTAATATCCAAGAATTAGAGCAAGGAAGAATTCAAAATATTCCTAGTTTTAAATCATATTTGTTTGAATATAAATATTACATATCAATGTATGGGAATTCCTCAAATTTTTTATATCATTCCAAAGGAAACTGAAAAGTATATTAGCACAAAATTTCAATATGAACACTCTAATGGTTCTCACACACTACCCGGCTTTTCCGTTTTTAATTCTTGTCTAGTATTATCAAGAAGATCAAGTAGTTTGGGTCATTTTGCACGAAGAGAATCACCTCTGTACAGCACGCTATTAGATCATTATACTACCTTAACCGGATTTTATAGTATTAGATTCCAACATCATTTCTTTATCATTATTCTTTTAATTTTCTCGCGCGCGCTGAAAATCTCTCTCGTCTCGATCGTAGATCGAAAAATAAGATGGAAAACTAGAGCTCTTTTGGTGCGTGACCTCGAAATTTCTCTACAGTACATATATGGGCATTTATATTTTCCACATTCTAAATGATTTTTATTGGATGTGATTTCTTTCACTGAACTATAATATTTCTTGCGAAAGAGCAGACACCAGTGCAGATCACTGTTAGCATGACTTTAACATCCTCTATTCTCAAGCAGTTGTCATGTTTTTTAGTATTATCTCTCTATATGTGTGTTATATCTGATTGCAGAGATAATCCGATACATTTGTGGTCTATTTGTAACATTGTCAGACGTTGTAGTTATGAAACTGTATATCGTATAGGTTGTCCAAAAGAGATCCAAGAATCGTCTTACTCCTCCCCCCTCAAAAACAAACCTCTATGAGTTGCCCCAGGGAATAGGGAGTAGTAGAAGTATTGTGATCTAGAACCATTTGGTTTATTGGAAAAAGATCTCTATTATACATTAGTGCATATGTATACACTATAGGGGGTAATATCAGCAAGCCGTAAAGGTGCTCTAAAAAACCAACATTGCACTCAAGTATTTAGGTGTGGATTAGGAGAGGCTGTATATATACATGGGATAGTGTCTAGGGTCACATTTGGGCATCACTACTGGAACATTGTATTATAGAAATGAAATGTTTCATGACAACCATATGTAATAAGAGCTCCAGATGGCATTAGATTATGTCATTAGATTATAATATGATATGTTGAGGGGGGCTGGGAAGGATGGGAGGAGGGGGAGGGGGTCTGGTGATAGTTGTGTCCTTCACCCTTATCCAGAGCTCAGTTTGTCTCCACTACATACCATTAATATTCTTTGAAGGTGTTTGATGGTTTTATAAAGAAAGAAAATCAAAACAAAAGAGCTCTTCTGTTTTACAAGATACCAAAACAGTTAACATTCAGAGGAAAATGGTGACTCACATGAACATTCTTGTATATTTAACAGGTTTTTTTTCTGTATTGGGCTACCTGTGAATTAGTTACCCCAAAGGCATGGACTCAATAATTTCTAAAAGCTTTAAATTGAGTATTAAAAAATTAACTAGATATTAATAAATGCTAATGTACATCCTTCTTTTATTTCTTAGTAACTTTATCGCAAGCCCAAACCAGTGCTCAGTGCGCACAAAGAAGCTGTTACCCAGCAACAGGAGATCTACTGATGGGACGTCAAGTTAAACTGTTTGCCAGCTCCACATGTGGCTTGAATGGACCTGAAAACTACTGTATGGTTTCCAACCTACAGGATCAAGAAGACTGCTTCATATGTGACTCTAGAGACTACCCTGACATTGACAAACAATTCAGACATAATCCTGAATATATGTTGTCATCGTTTGATGGGGACAAGACCAAGCAATGGTGGCAATCAGAGAATGGTAGAGAGAACGTTTATCTTCAGGTATAGTTGATGTATGGTTTTAAATCTTAAAATTAACTGCTTTAATACTTTCCCTTTTTCTTTTTGTATGACTGCATGATGTGTTATCAATTGATCAGTATTATTATCAAGGGTGGTGTAGGGGAAGCACACTCATCTCTGGGACCTTGTGTTTCTTTCCTGGGCTTGATATTGATGATTTCATTTACAAGTCAGTAGAGTTCATTATTTCTCTTCCTTGATTTGAGCATTTTCTTCCTTCACAAAATCACAAAATAAACCTAACAAGCTAAATTGGATTCGTATGTTGGCTGGGCCCTGACTTAGCCCAGAGGTTGTTTCAGGGTTCAATATGTGTGTTAGCTGTGCCCTGACTTTGATCAGCCCAAGGGTTGTTTCAGGTTTTAATAAAATTTGAAGGATTATAGTCTCACTTATATCAGATACATGAAATAAACTGTTGTAATTCAAATAAATCAGCATTCATTGATGTCCCTTTTTATTTCAGCTTGACTTGGAGTCAGAGTTTCACTTCACCCATCTAGTCATGACATTCAGAACGTTCCGTCCTGCTGGAATGTTGATTGAGAGGTCATGGGATTACGGAAAGACCTGGAAAGTGTATCGATACTTTGCTTCTGACTGTCGTAAGACATTTCCTGGCATCCCTAAAGGAGATCCAAAGGATATTGATGATATCATCTGTACTGATAAATACTCTACAGTTGAACCCTCATCTGGAGGAGAGGTAAGTAGAAGACTTAATAATTAGGAAGATATATTTAGATCAATAATACCAAGAAATTTGTTACTTGTTTCTTCTTGCTCATGGTTTTTTGGCAAGTTGCTGTGTCAGGCTGCACGCTGAAATTTGTTTTTTTTTTGCTGGAGCCAATCTAAAATAATCAGTTAGTACCTCTTTATGTTCTTGACTAGCATCAGTGAAAAGCCAATTTCATATCAGAGTTTGCAGAATATTGAAAACCGCAATAAGGTAATAACTGCATAATTTTGGAATAGAATCACTAGTTATGAATGATGAAATAAAAATCATAGGATAAAAGCCGCAAATTCGGTGTAAAAAGACGGGTACGATCCGTACGATCCAGCAAACTGAAGTCCAGTCCATTCCATCTATGTACGGTTCCGGATTTTTCCAAAATTAAAAAACACTCAAAAATCGGGCATTATAAAGAGGAAAACAAGTTTTAGAAGTTGGGCATGTTTTTTCTATACATTAAGATTATCCATGGCCTTTCAAAAGGTGAAAATTCAAGAAAAAAWTTTTTGGTGATTCAAGATCCAGTCACTGACTGAGACCCAGTCGCTTGCGATCCATTTCAGTCGCAACCAATCCATTCTAGTCACATCCAAGTAACATGCAATTTATCACAGTCATAATGTTATGTAGGAAAATTAGTCGTAAAAATCTGTAGAGATCCAGACAGTCATCTATAGACACATGTATACAGTCCTTTGAAAAACCTTTGCTTCCGACTGGCTTCACAGGATTTCAACCAGTACCACAATCCAGAAAATGAAAAAATATATATTTGCATTTCTTTTGTAGAATTTCTGAATAGAATCACTAGTTATGATTAATAAAATAAAAATCATAGGATAAAAGCTGCAAATTCGGTGTAAAAAAACGTCTACGATCCGTACGATCCAGCCAACCGAAGTCCAGTCCATTCCATCTATGTACGGTTCCTGATTTTCCAAATTTTAAAAACACTCAAAATTTGGGTATTTCGAAGAGGAAAACAAGTTTTAGAAGTTGGGCATGTTTTTTCTATACGTTAAGATTATCCATGGCCTTTCAAAAGATGAAAATTCAAAAAAAAGTTTTTTTGGTGATTCAAGATCCAGTCACTGACTGAGACCCAGTCCCTTTTTCCCCCTCATTTTTCTTTCTTTTTTCTTTTAATCAGCAACTATTCTGATCAACCAGTTGTTGGGCTAGTATCAACATTGTCAGTGTTGCGCATTCCAGCTAAATCAATATTACTATAATAACGATAAGCTTCAGTGAATATTCACATAGAAGAGTTTTTAAAGACGTTTAGACTTTTTTACAGATCAATTTGGAAACTCAATAATAGTTTTCTATAAAAAAATTTGTCTTAGGTAATCTTCAGAGCTCTCAAATCACAAGAACCAATAAAGAACCCCTACAGTCAGAAGGTCCAAAACCTCCTAAAACTGACCAACATCCGAATCAACTTTACGAAGCTCCACACCCTTGGTGATGACATTCTTGACCCCAGACCAGAGATCAAGCGCAAATACTACTATGCTATCTACGATCTGGTAATCAGAGGAAGCTGTTCTTGTTATGGACATGCAGAACAGTGTTTACCTGAACCAGGACAGCCAAACATACCTGGAATGGTGAGCTAAAATATAAGACAGCACACTGCGCATGCGTATGTTATTTTGAGTTATTTCGTTGTTTTTCGTATTTCAGTAAAGTTGCTTATTAGTTCTCTTCTGTGCTTCAACCGGTCTTTCAGGTGTTTCCTCTGTCCGCCAAAATCAACTTCTAAATTTCAATTAGAGTCCAGTGGAAGAAGAGCAGCTACTGTTAATATTCCATTTTACAGTTCTGTTCAGTGACCACGAATAATAGTTCCAAGGTGAGGCTAGAGTTTCCGCGCACGATAAAATGTATAGTTTTGCTATGCGCGGAAACTACAGCCTCGACTTGCAACTATTATTCGCGGTCACTGAATGGAACTGCAAAATGGAGCATTCCCATTTAACATCTGTTGTATTCTATTTTATTTATTTCATTTATTCATTTATTTTATTTAGTTGGGGACATTTCTGGAAGACGGAAAATAGTTAACGCGTGTCTAAACATTGTTTTTCCAGGTGTATGGCCAGTGTAATTGTACTCACAACACGACGGGAAACAACTGTGAACGATGTAAAGATGGCTACTATGACGTGCCGTGGAGACCAGCTACCGCAGATAGTCCAAACGAATGCAGAAGTAAGCAATAATAATGATGATGTTTATATTTCCTTTTTATATTCGGTGAAGAAATTCAGGATAAATTATGGTTTCCCATTTGGCCCACTTAAACTTACACACACTACATTAAATATTCTATGCATATGCAAGACTCGCATGTGGTTTATTAACGGAGGGAGAAAAGCGCAGAATCCGGAGAAAGCCCTGCCGCAAAGGGTCTAGCAAACCAATACAACTGAACGAAGTAACATTTTGAGGGTTGTGGAGTGGGGTAGTATCTTCGTGTTAGCAAATAGGACCCCCCCTTAGCTGTTTATACTCCGATAGATGACTAACGTTCCGACAACTAACGTCCAAAACGCCAGTACAGTCACAAACCTCTTTCAAAAGGTGTTCCTTCTTATTCACTTACTCTGCTAGCGAAGTATTGATAATAATACTAATAATAATGGGTAGTTCTAATATAGCACATTTGTACATCGTCTCAATGCGCTTTACAGTTATGACCAGTAAAGGGCTTTATGGGCTGCATATTAAGGCGCTATTACAATCATAAGCAGAAATATTCATATTCTCTTGTCATGAGTGAATAACTAATTTCCACGTAATATTTATCGTAATTTCATTGTTTTTTTCAGAGTGTAACTGTAATGGTCACGCCGTTCAGTGTCGTTTTGACACGGCAGTGTATCTGGCCTCGGGGAACAAGAGTGGAGGAGTGTGTATCAACTGTGAACACAACACTGTTGGGCGAAACTGTGAACGATGTAAGCCACTCCATTATCAAGACCCTAACAAGGACTTCAAGGAACCTGACGCCTGTATCCGTATGTATTCACCTTTTGTTTCTTTGTTTGTTGATTACTCACTCTTTGTAAAATAACGACCAGTGGTCATCAAAAGAAGCACTTCATTGAACGAGAACATCGCGCCATCGCGTAACGAGCGCGCAACACTAGTTACACTAGTTAGTTCAGGGGCGGCGGAAGCTGAAAAATGTTGGGGGGGCACTCCAATATTTCACGGTACCTTGAAATGACCCCCCCCC